CCCCCCCCCCCCTCCCCCCTTTCGTTTCGGGGTCTTAAGGGTCTTTCTGCAGGTACTGTCATAACAAAAGAAATAAAGGAACTAAAAAATAAGTTTCCCTGATCCTGGGGGGTTCATTGTTTGGTTGTATTGTTTCGTTATTTGTATCCAATCTGCGCCTTAGTACCTAAAGAAGAAGCCCTCCTGAGCATTGTGTGACGACTGTAAAAATGGCTGTGTGACTTTTTACTTTCCTGTGACAACCATTTTTGAATCATCTGCCTGTGGGCACTTTGAACAAATTAATCTATTGTTGATCACCAGTTCTTTGTTACATTCTCTTTTAATGGCCATCAACTCTTTGTTACATTCCTTCTTAATGACCAGCATTAAATTTCTCCTTAAATATCACTGCTTATTAATCATGAAGGTTATGAGAGTCACGAAAAAATCAGCCTAGGATACAAAAAATATCTTACAAAAAGTCTCTCAGTAGAGAAATTATTTAAGAGTCATGCTTACAGCAAATAGTACAACCTCAATGGCAATTTCTCAAAATTAGAAACGATTTCTTCTAGATGATACTGTCCATAATAGCCCTATAAATCTAAGACTAATCAACTTCAATCTTCCCTAAAGTAACCTAAAAATAACCCTTTGACTCCTTTTTAGTGGGCAAAGAAAATATTCACAACAAAATTCATATTATTTTCTCTTTGTGAAATCCCTACAAATAAATAGTTGTATAAAAACGTTGAACTAAAAAGGGTTCATCTAAATGGTTAATGGCGATCTGTCCAAGAGTTGAAACGTTAGAGCAAACCTCTCAATAACTTGGTTGCCCTTGGAGTGAGCAGGCTAAAGCATTTTCTGACACATCTATAATAAAATGTAGCATGAAAGCAGAGATGATTTTTGCAGGACAGACAGTTAAGAATCATAACCGATGCTGACATTTTTCAGTTTTACTGGGAATTAATTTTGCTTCCATCATTGTTTGCTCAATTGTTTGCTTTAAATACTAAAAGAGGAAGCTTTCATTTCTACAATGCGACTGGTTCACAATATTTCCAGTTAAATTAGCTTAGGACACTGAAACAGCCTGTTTAGCTGGAGGCTTTGCAACAATTTTCATGGCTTTGCCTGGTGCTAGCACTCCTGTCTCCCCAAAAAACCACCAGCATAAGCAGGTTATATAAAGACAGAATAAGGTCATTGATAAACTTGGATGTGATCGGTAACTGGGCGATACATGAACAGAAAGAGCTGCTATATAGTTTGTTTGAATCAGAAGAGGACTAAAACAATAGAGAATTCCAGAGCATGAGCTATTAGAGCTTTTTTTATGAACTTGAAAAATGGTTTCAGTAAGTGTTCGTTTTCCCGCCAAAGAAAACCCTAATATGGAGAGGGCATTGTGCGATTTGCCAATTGTGTTGCAGTATGACGTCAGAGAGAAGTATCGACAGGTTGACTTCTAGAATTAAGTTCAAGGGCATGAAGTTTTTTCAGCCGAGTGTTCACTTAACCAACCAAACGCCTGGTGCGTTTGTATCGGTTCAATAAACCAATCAAATCACTTTATTTCCATTCGTTAGTTGTTCTGTTTTGTTCGCACTTTTTCATTTCAAGGTCATACGAAAATCACTCTAAATGCATATGCTTGCCAGTATGAGGGTACCAAAGTGGGAACAGGGGGTACAAATCCCGTTTTCCACTCAGGCTAAATGTTTACAGATCCCAGTGTCCAATGAAGGTTATTGTTAAGTTCAAAATCTAGCTTTGTAGATCCTTGCAGTTAAACTTAGCTGACACCTAGAAAAGTTGAATATTTACATCAGACTACCAATTTTTGTGTTCAGAGTTAAATTAATCTTGAATTTTGAAATTTCTTCTACTTTGCTTTATCACTAGTAAAGCTAATAAATAAATAAATTATCATACATTTTAATAGCACTACAAGTGAATATTTGAAATAATGTCATGACAGTCTTTCTTGTAAATTATTCCATGCTTTCACAACCTGTTTTTGCGTGAATTCTGGCTCCCACAAGGTGCAAATGGCAACATTAGCTTCCCTAATTCTTTCCTCGTTGCCTATTTGTGACTTAATTCTGTTCATTGCTTGTTCTTCAGAGATACCATCTCTGTCGAGAATCCGTGAGACTGCTTCACTTTCAGGGACAAATGTAACCCACACTTCATCAGTTTCCTTGTCCCAGCCAGCTTCCAAGAGAACTGCGGCATCCAGGACACAAACATTAAAGCCTTCTTTTCCATAACGAGCAATTTCTGTTTTAGCCTGCATCAATATCTCAGGCCACACTATTTGATTAAGCAATGCTAACTTTGCCTTGTCAGCAAACACAATTGCACCAAGCGCTCTTCTGTTTATGGTTTGTTCAGGGGTGAGAATGCTGGATCCAAAATTATCAATTATTTCCTTGTAAGCCTTCTTTCCAGGTGTATAAGCTTGGTGTCCAAGCTGGTCGCAGCTTATTATCGCAGCACCTAGATCTTTCAGTCTCTGACAGACTGCAGATTTTCCACTTGCAATCCCTCCAGTTAGACCAATAACATATGGCTGATTATTTCCTTTCTCTTTTCTAACAACAGGTTTTAAAAGTGTTCCTAAGAGTTTTTGACGTTCCATAGAGGAGCTCATCTTTTCTTCCCCTTGATGGCGTTTTCCTTTCAGAACTTCAATACTGTTGTCCGAGACTACGTCAACAACATGTACATCCAGCAGATCTAAGCCTTTTTTCTCTCTGGCATCATTAACGAAGAACCCTCCCTTCTCTGTTTCCTTGCTGACAATTAAGCACTGGTACTCTGGAACTGTTCCTGCTGGCCCCACAGGGTCCTTGAGTATCATGATGTCCTGTTTAAGGCCTAAAAATGCAAACCATTGATAAACAGGGGTTCTGATATTATGAGATGGAATAATTTTAAACAATAACAATAATGTTAATAATAATATTAATATTTAATAATAATATTTGTTTATATAGCATTTAAACTATACACATATTCTAAAGCGCTGATAAAAGCTGACAAACACTAATACATAACAAACAGTAAACTTAGAGAAAATAAAAATAAAACACCACAATGACTGTACATGAATTGGTTCACTGGGCAAATGCCAAATGAAATAAAAAGGTCTTTAGAGCCTGCTTGAAACCCTGATAACTCCAGGTACTCATGATAGCTAAAAGAACTAGAGTTCCACAGTGAGGGGCCAACATGAGTGAAGGCCTTGTCCCCAATTGCTCCGTGCAAGAAATCTCATTCCTTATTATTTCAATAGATACTTTAAAAGAAACAAAAAATAAAAAGTAGGTTGCCCTTTAAGTAAGTTGTTGTTGAAATTTTACTAAGTCAAAGCAATCCCCTAACCTGTGTCAGGGCTTTTTTTATTTCTTTTTGAGAAGACAGGGGAAAAAGAAATATAAGAAGAGAAATATCACAGGTTTACCAACTACCCTTTTTACTTTATCTTAGCAAAACATTATTGACCTGCTGGGCAAAATTATTACGAGCAACAAGAGGACGCCTAAAACCTCTTAATCTCCAGGCTGAGAACATGTGATCACACTAATCATGCACATGCGTTTGAACTTTCTATCTTTCATAATCCCACTGGTCACTTGCATTCAAACTTATGCAAAGCCCCAGTAATGGAGCAAGAGTGTTTTGACCTTGGATGAGAAGCCTTAAACTTCCCTGCACTTCCTGTTAAAACCTTTGGTTATTGCTAGTTACTAACATGAGGGCTTGCTCCAGGCTATCAAACAGCACTTTTGCTGTATGCAGGTATTGTTGATCTTGGCTTGTGGTATCAGTAGACAATACCCTGTTCAATCTGAATGATCCTTCGCAACATACCAACCACATACAAAAATGATACTGTTACTGTGAAACTCAGAAACCCATGAGTAACTGAAAATTTTCAGGAGTGTTGATTGTGTGGTGACCAATCACAATAAAATTCAGGACACGCCTCATTGCCTTTTTCCTTTCAACACAATAACATTACAGAATTTATATTTCTGGTGTTCACGGTTTTATGAGTATCACAGTAAATACACTGTAGATGTATAACCACACCATGATAGACATTATTTACATCATTCAAAGGCATAGAAACAGACTTTTCTCGACTTACTACCTGAGAACTACAGTCAAAAGTTCCAGAAGCAACCACCCAAAGTCGAAGACTTAGTGGTCACTTACTGAAGGTGGTCGTTTAGAAGAATCCAACCACAGGGTGTCTCTCCCAAGTGGTCCAGACATGTCTTCTGTACAGAAGATAATTAATTTTATTGCAATTAATGTCATGCAGTTTCATGCAAGTTACAATATGTGTATTTCCATGTTGCCACTGAAAATTCTTCATATAGATGTAGTCCAAGTAGCATGGTGCACACTCAGTGAACCTAGAGATGAGACCATGCGGTGGTTGCTTACAGTAGGTGGTCTTTTATGGGAGGTTTCAATTATAGTGCTTTGACTGGGAAAATTTTGGTGTTTTGAACAGGTGGTTGCTTGGAGGTGGACACTTAAGAGATGTGGTCGCAAATGTAGTCTGGACTGTATCATACCATATTTCCTCGAATAATAGCCACCCCTCGATTTACTGCCTTCTTCAAAATCTCCCCCCTTTGATGGAAATATTATTTTAAAATAATCACCTCCCTCGATTAATCGCCCCCCACCGCTCCCGCTATCTTCATCCAGTTAAAAAGCCCATATTCAGTTTATTTCATGTGACTATTTTTTGATTCAATGAGATAATCAAACAAAATATTTAGGGCACAACTTCCAGTGAGCAATATTTGAAATAGTCGCCTCGGCCTCGAATAATCGCCTTTCCTTGAATGATCGCTCCCTTTTGGTCCGAAAAAAATTATAATCGCCCCCGGCTATTACTCGAGGAAATAAGATGCAAGTAGCACGTTGGTCAGCCAATCTGAATGTTGGTTTAGTGATGTAATTTGAAACACGATGAAAGAAATGAAAGACATACCTGGCTTAACGTCATTCAAAAAGTTCTGCAATTTCTTCCTCCTCTCTTGGAAAGGCTCGATTAGTTCCTTCAAAAACTTTCTTTGAAGAAGAGGCCCATCGCTGAGGCCAATCGTAATTCTTTCTTCGCAAAGCAAGGAAGCTACAGCTAGAAGTAATCGATGGCCAGAGTGAATGTGATCGAATGTTCCCCCAAGAACGACCTCATTGTAGGTCTGCAAAGAATCATTTTGTGGATTTTCTGGCCCACAAGTTTTGTTGATTAAGTTACTATCCGTCGCCTCGTCGTCGACCTTTAAATACTTCACTTTTTTCTCCAAATCGGATAACTGAAAACGTCGGGTCAGCCACTTCTTGAACTCCAGGAGGCCAACCTGTGAACTCGACTGGCCTGTTTTACAAAAAATATCTCGCACGAGTGCGACCTCAGGTCTCTTTCCAAGATATCTAACTTCATCAAGGTTACCGTCTGTTTTTGCCAACGCGGAAGGAAGCAGAAATCGGACGTCCAAATCGCCAATTCTCGAGGAATTTTTGCTGTAAACATCGACGAGTAGGTCGTACAAATTGCGAAGATGGAGGCACACGTAATCAGGTTGATAAATGTCAACGTACAATACCTCTTTCACTTCTTTCGATGCTTGCTTCAGAAGGGCTGGTATTTTAGTTCTGAGGCAAGAAGGAGACAAGACTAACAACCCATAACGAACCATATTGTTTTCGCGATTGTTCCGTAATTCTTTTCTGAAAGGGAAGAGATCGATGTGATGTAATGTGATGCAATCACTCGCGACGGGGAGACTGGTTCGAGCTCGATCGGGAGCTACGAAGAGCCACGAACAGTCGAAACTTTCCGGCAATCATCGGAAATAAATCTCAATCCTTGATTGAACGTTCGCTTTGAAGTCGCGAAAATTGTGATCAAACTTTGCCTCACAGGCAGATCTCTGCTAAAGTTTCAGATGGGGCGAAAAGTGACTCTTGCGGCTTGCACGTTAAATCAATGGGCCTTGGATTTTGAAGGCAACTTGAAACGCATTCTTCAGAGTATAAATCTTGCCAGAGCACATGGTGCAACATACAGGCTTGGACCAGAGCTGGAAATCCCTGGTTACGGTTGCAACGATCATTTCTTGGAAAGCGACACGCTACTGCATTCTTTTCAAGTTCTTTCTGTGTTGCTAAAATCGCCAGTGGCCAAGGACATCATCTGCGATGTTGGAATGCCCATAATGCACAGGAATGTTCGCTACAACTGCAGAGTTATTTTTCTCAATGGAAAAATACTTTTGATCCGTCCGAAAATGACACTTGCTAACGATGCTAACTATAGAGAGGGTCGTTGGTTTACAAAGTGGAACAAGGTGTGTACTGTCAATAGAGATCTGAGATATTTCCAGTCCGCTGTAATGGTTTTTCCCACATTTTCCACTATCTGGAATGGCTACTTTGATGGGTGGTGTGGGGAGTAGCCTATCCACCGGCTAAACCATTATCCAGTAGATATTTGTGCTAAGCATTATCAAAGCATTTGAAAAAATGAGTATCCAGGGGTTGGGAGGGGGGCATTGAAGAGGCTCCAGCCCTCCCACATCCCTGCAACTGCCCCCTCCCCAATCCCCAAGAAAAGAAGACTTACTAGGAGGAGTAGATGTATCTTCAGCCTAGTCCCTATTCCCCCTCTCCTTTGATCAATATTCTGCCATCCCTGGATTTTTACTAACATAAGAGCACTGGTTAGCTAGCCTGCATCATAGACAAACTCTAAATGTGGCAAGTAATGTCTGCAAAGCAACCCCAAGATAATTGTTCAAAATGATAGAAAGACAAGCTATATTGGGGGATGACTGTGTTAGTGGTAGTCCTTAATTTTTGCAAGGCTACGAGGAAGGCGTTGGAACCACTTTCATGAAACTTATCATAAAATAATACAGTTGATAGACATTTTTCATCATATTATTTTAGGGTCATTCATGAGGGAGGACCCTCATGGGATGTTCCCCAAATCTACCACTCCAATTTTTCTCTTGCCATCTCCTCTTTTATTTAATGGAGAGCAGGCTCACAGATTACTTTGGGGTTTGTTAGAAGCACTATAAATCCCCAACATACATTTGGCCTCATCTGCAAGCCACTACATAAATTCTTGTTGTGGGTCCCCAGCTGTGTAGGAGGACTTAAGTACAGACCTTGGTTGGCCTCTTAATGAAGCTATTATCCAACAGCCAACCAGGTTAAGAGAAATTTGAATTCAAAGTATACCATGTCTGGTAATTTGTTGAGTCTGTTGGAGGCCCAGAACAAGAATCTCAGGGCTGCTTTGCAAACTTTACTAGGCAAGGTTAGATTACATCTGTGATACAGGCTGCAACATAATGTTCCTTCTACTCTGTCGATGTACAACAAGTGAAACCTGAGAAAACAGCTGACATTTTGCGACGCCACCACTGGTTTCCCCACGAAACGACGTCTGAGCAACAAGTGCAAAAATTCCATACTGATGATGCAGTACTGCCAGGATCTGGGTAGTGCTTCTGATTGGCTGAAAATTTGTTTCAACCAATCAGAAGCACTAACCAGATCTGGGTAGTGATGCGTCTTCATTTCTGTGCTTGTTTCTCAGACGTCATTTCACAGGGAATCCCGTGGGGCATTGCAAAATGTGGGCTGTTTTCTCAGACTACAACATGTGCAGACTGCAGACGCACAACCTGGCTGGTAAATAAGGTAAACGTTGTTGTGTAATGCTCTAAAAGATTCCCTATCCCCTAACTTCAAGTCTTCTAAAAATCTTGTTTAGGAATGGGGAATCTGTTAGAGCATTTCACCAAAATGTTTACCTCATTTACCTGCCAGTCTGTGAGTCTTCATTTGCCGCACACCACTACTATGTTGTCTGACCAAAGCCTTTCTTTTGCCTTCTCTGTTTCTGTCCAGCCAAAGCAAACTGAAGAGTACTTTCTCCCTCGTATGATAGCAGAAATAACTGGCCAGGACAGTGTTCCATTTGGAGATGGTGTTATCTCCACTCTGGATACTTGTGTTGGTTCAGAAATCTGCGAGGAGCTGTTTAGTGTAGATGGTCCGCATATTAGTATGGCATTGGATGGTGTGGAAATCATCACTAATGCAAGTGGAAGCCATCATCAACTAAGGAAACTTAATACTAGGGTGGATTATGTAACAGATGCAACAACAAAGGTGAAATACAAATCTCTGAACTTACAAACTACAAACCTTTTTAAGTACAAAAATGGTGAATAATCTAAAGAATAAAACTGTGACCTACAAACTATTGGACTTCTGATCTGCAGCTTATGAAGTTTGACTAGCTGATATGTGGTACCATTCTCAGGGTCTTTCTTCTTCCCATCCCAGGATGAGGACAAATAAAATTCATCATTTGGCCTTCCTGCACAAATCCAACAATACAGTTCCTTCACGTAAAGTCACTGAAAATATTGTCTCCAGCAGGAGCTTTAAAAGCACATAAAAGAAAAGTATGATTCTCAACCTGGGAGATTAATAATGTTAGTTTAATGGTTATAATGTTGAGGACTTGGGGAATGGAGATGGAATTGCAGGGTTTAAACCAAATAGAACAGAGCTCTGTGTTTAATACTGTAACTAAATTTTCTTTATGGTAGATTAGATGGATAATATAATAAGTTTGTCTTTTGCAAAGTAACCCTATTAATAAAGAAGATCATTCACAGATATCTCACAGTGGTTAACAAAAATTAAACATGTACGTTTGCTGGTCAAAGCATTTGTTTGTAGAAATAATATTGCCATCACTGATGTCAAACTGAACATTAGAGGTCTTTGCTTTTCTTATCCTGTAGGCTGGTGGCATTTATGTATATGCAAATATGAGAGGCTGTGATGGAGAAAGGGTTTACTATGATGGATGCTCGATGATTGCTGTCAATGGTCATGTTGTTGCGCAGGGTGCACAGTTTTCATTGCAGGAGGTAGAAGTTGTCACGGCAACAATCGACTTGGAAGAAGTGCGCTCTCATAGAGGCTCTACACCAACATTTGGTTCAAGTGCAACAGCTTACACTAAGAGCTATCCGCGTCTCAAGGTGGACTTTGCATTGAGTCATGGAGATGACATATCCATCCCTTCAGCAGACCCAATAGAGGTTCAGTACCACTCGCCTGAGGAGGAGATAAGTCTTGGTCCAGCTTGTTGGTTATGGGACTATCTCAGGAGGAGTGGTCAGGCGGGCTTTTTTTTACCACTCAGTGGAGGTATGTCATTTGCAGTGGTGGGTCGAGACCTTCAGATATGTGGGGCCCGGTGGTCATCCAGACCCTGAGATAAGTGAGGAAGGGCGCGGGCAGGGGGATTGCTCGTCTCCAAAAAAAATTTTTTTGGCCCTTTCACGCCTCAGTTTGGTCATAAAATAAGAGGGGGGATGGGCACCCGGGCCTCTCCCCTGAATCTACCACTGATTTGAATGTTGTTGGTTAAATGTGTTGTGGATCAATTTGCCATCTTGCCCATTCAATAAAAATTACCAGAAACCAATAGTATTGCTTTATGGATATTAGCATTATTTTTTGTTTTTTTTTTGTGTCGTCTGAACCTCAACTTTGTCTCAAACCATAAAAAAGCAAAATAAGAACTTACCAATACAGTCAACTTTCTCCAAGATGGACATCTTTGGGATGGGAACTATATGTCTGCCATAGTGAGTTGTCCATCCTTAACCCTTTGAGTCCCAATAGTGACTAACGTCAATTTTCTCCTAACGATTTCCATACAATGTCAAGCAATTAGGTTATGAGAATTCATAAAATGATCACCTAAGGGAAAATGCCCTGATCTTTTCTCAAATTGTCTCAACTCATTCATGAAGGAAATGTATGGAGATCAGTTTGGAGAATTTGTAAAAGAACTAAAGAAAGGCAGGGACCAACTCTTGGTGTCCATTTTAGCAAAGTGTCCGTCTTATAGAGGTGTCCATTAAGAGAGAATTGCCTGCAGTGATATTCAACCATATTGACCACTTGGACAATAATGCATAATGTCTTCTTGATGTAGGAATCGACAGCTCATCAACAGCTTGTATTGTCAGTTCCATGTGCCACCTAGTTTGCCTTGCTGTAAAGAATGGTGATCAACAGGTGTTAGAAGACTGCCGCAGGATCATCAATGACAAGTGAGTCTACCCGTTTATGGCCTAAAGCAGCCACTCACTAATGAGTTCCTGTGTTAATGCACGGCACTTTATTTCACTGTTAATAAATTTAGCACGAAAGCACTAATTGAGGACACTATATTTTTACCTCTCCTCCTGGAGACTGGACCGCCATTTTACATGCTCATCCCAGCCACGCGAAGGTCTAGCCATTTACAAGGGTAAAGGCAGCATCTTCATTCCTCAGTCATTTTAAGACCATGAGTGTTGGGCCGGTCCCAGGAATTGACTTGCGACCTCCCTCTCTGCAGTCAAGCACTCTACCAACTGAGCTAATCTTGTCGCGGTGAATTTGGAGTTATTGTAGTGGTAGTTAGGTCAGTTTATGAGATCACCCACTGGTGTTATCTTACCACTGTTTCTTTTATGTGAGAACGTTGCTCCACATTCTCTCTCTTATCAAGCCTGGGACCAGCCCTTACTTCCCCTCTCCTCCCCCAAAACGTACAGCCTGTTGACAAGCTATCTTTAACCTGGTGTACTTATCCCCACTGACATCTTACTGCTTGTCCCATCATAGAGAGGTACTGCTATGTTATTAGGGGGCTTAAAGGTGATGTTACACGAGACGATTCGCAACGACGATTTTTAGCGCAACACAGCGTTGCAATGTTGGAACAGTGTTGTAACTATTCCATACAATGTCACGCTAAAAATCGTCGTTGCAAATCGTCTCGTGTAACACCACCTTAAGCAACAACGACGGCAACGAGAAAGGCAAAAAAGCAATAGGTTTAGATTAGCAAAATAACAACTTTGCCCGTGCATCACGCCTTTTTGTACATTTCTTTGACGTCACTGCACGACTGCGACGTGAAAATGCCTAAATTCACGTTTTGTGCGGGAGAACGTGAACGCAAGACAATGACTTTCTCTTTTTTTCCTGAAGTTCGATACAGTCTTTTAGAATTCAGCTCTCGAAAAAAATGCCAACATTTGACGAATTGAACGAGATGGGATAAGTGCAATAAAGTTTGAAGCAGGGCGAATTAAGTTTTTAAGTGACGTTTTTGTAGCCGTTGCCGTCGTCGCTGCCCTGGTTCTCATAGGCCGCCCAAGTACCTGCGACATATCCGCCGGTACTGCCTGCGATACTACTGTGACATACATGTACGAGGACATAACGCTGCTGGCAACATGAAACATCGCAGGTCTTTACCGCCAGCATACCTGCGAAGTCTAACTCGAGTCTTAGGAAAGCATCCTAAAACTAAATTAAAAATCACTCTCTTCTTCGTTACCTTCTAGTAATTACATACCTACGGATCCCAAAGAGCTGGCAGGCCGTATATTTGTCACATGTTACATGGGAACACAGAATTCTTCCGAGGAGACCAGAAAAAGAGCAAGCGATTTAGCAGAAGAGATAGGCAGTTACCATATGGGTACCTTTTGCGTTTTTGTCTTTTTGATAATTTTGATTGTAGATGGTAGTTTTTCTTTTTAAATAGTTTTACCCAGTTGGAGTAAGCGCGACATCATCCTTCTGTGGTGCGGTCGTTTCGCCCACGCGTTTTAAGTCGATTCGCCCGATGACAGACAACACTTTACAACAAAGTGAGCGTATCAGAGATGTAATAGGCCATTTCCGAGTTCCCTCGGGCCTCTGTTTCAAAACGAGGGTAGGTGTTCAGCCTTTGATGTGGAAATCATTTTTCTTTCTCATGCAAAGGAAACTCATTTTCACAAGAAAGGTTGTGCACCTAGCCTCATTTTGAAAGTGAGGGTTTTTGGAACTCGGAAGTGGCTTTTTGTAATTAAGCATTGATCCCTCATGCGCAGTCACTGTCTTTTCAAGCGTGTTCCATCTTTTAGGCTTAAAGAACGACGAATACACATTGGGCGAATCGACTTAAGTCCGGACGAACTGCCGTCGGGCGAAACGACTAGATACCCTTCAGAGTCTTCCTCCCCCATCAGCCACATCCCGATTGAGGGTGTATTCGAGGAATTGGGCAACGAGGACTCCTATTGACACTTGTTTACCTTTCCTATAGGAATCACAATCGATGCTGCCGTCACTGCTGTCCTCGGGATATTTACAGCAGTTACGGGTAAAATCCCGAAGTTCAAGTTGTACGGGGGGACACAACGCGAGAACCTCGCCATGCAAAATGTGCAGGCGCGACTGCGCATGGTCTTAGCATATTTATTTGCTCAGCTGATCATGTGGGCGCGTGGGCTTCCTGGTGGTCTGCTTGTCTTAGGATCTGCCAATGTTGATGAAAGGTATCTATAGAGCTATATCATACAGCTAAGGCGAAGTCAGGTGATAGGCTTCATCTTAAGACAGAAAAAGCGAAATATTTACCGGCATTTTGTTAGTGGTTCAAATCTATCCCTTTCCTATTTTGGGGACGAAACATTCGAAATATGTAATGATAGCCGACAGACCCGGTCTAGTTTGCCGTGCGAGCGATGATCCCTCATCGGCAGATTATCTAGTACCTATGTTGATGACACCATTTTTTCCCACCCCAGTAACGATCACTCATTTTAAATACGATCCAGACCAGTGAGCGCATTTCATTCAACTATAGGTGGTTTTCATGCAATCTCGGGAGACACAAATAACAATGGTGAAATGAACAAATGCTGGTGGACAAACAAAGCGAGCTACTGAGCGATCTTTTGTTTACCGTCCACCAGCATGGCGGCGATGACGTAACGTGAAAACCACCTATTTTTTGTCTGTTATGTGTTACCATGTTCCCAATGAATAGTGTTGCTTGATTTGCTAACTTTCTTTCGATCTCTTTGCGGCGGTCATTTGGTGCAGCGTTATCTGATGTAGGAATCGACAGCTCATCAACAGCTTGTATTGTCAGTTCCATGTGCCACCTAGTTTGCCTTGCTGTAAAGAATGGTGATCAACAGGTGTTAGAAGACTGCCGCAGGATCATCAATGACAAGTGAGTCTACCCGTTTATGGCCTAAAGCAGCCACTCACTAATGAGTTCCTGTGTTAATGCACGGCACTTTATTTCACTGTTAATAAATTTAGCACGAAAGCACTAATTGAGGACACTATATTTTTACCTCTCCTCCTGGAGACTGGACCGCCATTTTACATGCTCATCCCAGCCACGCGAAGGTCTAGCCATTTACAAGGGTAAAGGCAGCATCTTCATTCCTCAGTCATTTTAAGACCATGAGTGTTGGGCCGGTCCCAGGAATTGACTTGCGACCTCCCTCTCTGCAGTCAAGCACTCTACCAACTGAGCTAATCTTGTCGCGGTGAATTTGGAGTTATTGTAGTGGTAGTTAGGTCAGTTTATGAGATCACCCACTGGTGTTATCTTACCACTGTTTCTTTTATGTGAGAACGTTGCTCCACATTCTCTCTCTTATCAAGCCTGGGACCAGCCCTTACTTCCCCTCTCCTCCCCCAAAACGTACAGCCTGTTGACAAGCTATCTTTAACCTGGTGTACTTATCCCCACTGACATCTTACTGCTTGTCCCATCATAGAGAGGTACTGCTATGTTATTAGGGGGCTTAAAGGTGATGTTACACGAGACGATTCGCAACGACGATTTTTAGCGCAACACAGCGTTGCAATGTTGGAACAGTGTTGTAACTATTCCATACAATGTCACGCTAAAAATCGTCGTTGCAAATCGTCTCGTGTAACACCACCTTAAGCAACAACGACGGCAACGAGAAAGGCAAAAAAGCAATAGGTTTAGATTAGCAAAATAACAACTTTGCCCGTGCATCACGCCTTTTTGTACATTTCTTTGACGTCACTGCACGACTGCGACGTGAAAATGCCTAAATTCACGTTTTGTGCGGGAGAACGTGAACGCAAGACAATGACTTTCTCTTTTTTTCCTGAAGTTCGATACAGTCTTTTAGAATTCAGCTCTCGAAAAAAATGCCAACATTTGACGAATTGAACGAGATGGGATAAGTGCAATAAAGTTTGAAGCAGGGCGAATTAAGTTTTTAAGTGACGTTTTTGTAGCCGTTGCCGTCGTCGCTGCCCTGGTTCTCATAGGCCGCCCAAGTACCTGCGACATATCCGCCGGTACTGCCTGCGATACTACTGTGACATACATGTACGAGGACATAACGCTGCTGGCAACATGAAACATCGCAGGTCTTTACCGCCAGCATGCCTGCGAAGTCTAACTCGAGTCTTAGGAAAGCATCCTAAAACTAAATTAAAAATCACTCTCTTCTTCGTTACCTTCTAGTAATTACATACCTACGGATCCCAAAGAGCTGGCAGGCCGTATATTTGTCACATGTTACATGGGAACAGAGAATTCTTCCGAGGAGACCAGAAAAAGAGCAAGCGATTTAGCAGAAGAGATAGGCAGTTACCATATGGGTACCTTTTGCGTTTTTGTCTTTTTGATAATTTTGATCGTAGATGGTAGTTTTTCTTTTTAAATAATTTTACCCAGTTGGAGTGAGCGCGACATCATCCTTCTGTGGTGCGGTGTATTCCCTTAGCGGTCGTTTCGCCCACGCGTTTTAAGTCGATTCGCCCGATGACAGACAACACTTTACAACAAAGTGAACATGCGTATCAGAGATGTAATAGGCTATTTCCGAGTTCCCTTGGGCCTCTGTTTCAAAACGAGGGTAGGTGTTCAGCCTTTGATGTGGAAATCATTTTTCTTTCTCATGCAAAGGAAACTCATTTTCACAAGAAAGGTTGTGCACCTAGCCTCATTTTGAAAGTGAGGGTTTTTTGGAACTCGTAAGTGGCTTATTGTAATTAAGCATTGATCCCTCATGCGCAGTCACTATCTTTTCAAGCGTGTTCCATCTTTTAGGCTTAAAGAACGACGAATACACATTGGGCGACTCAACTTAAGTCCGGGCGAACTGCCGTCGGGCGAAACGACCAGATACCCTTCAGAGTCTTCCTCCCCCATCAGCCACATCCCGATTGAGAGTGTATTCGAGGAATTGGACAACGAGGACTCCAATTTACACTTGTTTACCTTTCCTATAGGAATCACAATCGATGCTGCCGTCACTGCTGTCCTCGGGATATTTACAGCAGTTACGGGTAAAATCCCGAAGTTCAAGTTGTACGGGGGGACACAACGCGAGAACCTCGCCATGCAAAATGTGCAGGCGCGACTGCGCATGGTCTTAGCATATTTATTTGCTCAGCTGATCATGTGGGCGCGTGGGCTTCCTGGTGGTCTGCTTGTCTTAGGATCTGCCAATGTTGATGAAAGGTATCTATAGAGCTATATCATACAGCTAAGGCGAAGTCAGGTGATAGGCTTCATCTTAAGACAGAAAAAGCGAAATATTTACCGGCATTTTGTTAGTGGTTCAAATCTATCCCTTTCCTATTTTGGGGACGAAACATTCGAAATATGTAATGATAGCCGACAGACCCGGTCTAGTTTGCCGTGCGAGCGATGATCCCTCATCGGCAGATTATCTAGTACCTATGTTGATGACACCATTTTTTCCCACCCCAGTAACGATCACTCATTTTAAATACGATCCAGACCAGTGAGCGCATTTCATTCAACTATAGGTGGTTTTCATGCAATCTCGGGAGACACAAATAACAATGGTGAAATGAACAAATGCTGGTGGACAAACAAAGCGAGCAACTGAGCGATCTTTTGTTTACCGTCCACCAGCATGGCGGCGATGACGTAACGTGAAAACCACCTATTTTTTGTCTGTTATGTGTTACCATGTTCCCAATGAATAGTGTTGCTTGATTTGCTAACTTTCTTTCGATCTCTTTGCGGCGGTCATTTGGTGCAGCGTTATCTGTCCGTAAAGTAATGTTGAAGTTGGGAAGTAAACGTCGCGAGCATTAAGTCGTCTGAGAATAAGGCGAGTCTAATTTTGTCCCAAAAAAAGAGTCTTACTTTGTCTCCAGACTTTCCTATTCGTAAAGCGATAGGGGAAAGGGAACGAACGGGCCACAAGGCAGATTCATTAACAAAAGAACTAGCTTGCGCAAGCGCATCCCAATTTAACAAACACGAAAAAGGGATCTAGAGACTTGACTAGACGCGGCTAAATGTACTGTCGGAAAATGTGGCTGAAAAGAATGATTAGCGCATAAATTTTGCATCTTTCTCTTCTGCCCAAATGAGCTAACGGGTAGTCTTTTTTGAACAGTTTATGCGGATATTTGACGAAGTACGATTGCTCAAGTGCAGACATCAATCCAATCGGAGGCATCAGCAAGAAGGATTTAAAAGCGTTTATTTTCTACTGCGTGGAGAAGTTTAATTTTAGTTCACTCATACGAATTCTTGGTGCTCCCCCAACCGCCGAGTTAGAGCCACTTGCAGATGGTCAAATACAACAGACTGACGAGGTGAATATGTTGTTACTGTTGTTGTTTTTGAAATCGTTGTCAAACTCATCAACAACAAATGGGGTTAAGTTTAGGTGCTCCAGAGGATGGTGATGCCAAGCGCATAAGAGACGAGCACAAAGTATCCATGGCAACCAGTGGTTGACCACCACCACCGGCACCAATACACTGACCAAGTATAACACAGGACGGTGGAACCTCGATATAACAAATCACTATATAACGGAGTCCTCGGTTTAACGAACGGTTTTCTTTACCCCAGTAATAATAAGATATATGAAACAGGACCTCGATATAAGTTAACAAAACCTCGTTATAGCGAACAAATTTTGTCAGCCCCTTGGCCCTTCGTCATATCGAGGTTCCACTGTACACACTTACCTGAAAGGGAGGGGAGAGGGACGTGGAAAAATCAGCGAAAAGGCGCGAAACACGCTTAACTGCGCAATGAATCTCAACAATTTTCATCAAGCCCTTTTATTATTTACCTGGGCTTCCCCAGCGTAATGTGAGCCGCTACAATCGAAACTGCTGACCAGTATTGTTTCGCGTTAAACTTCGCCTAAATTATATGTAGCCACATAGTAGATATAAAAAAAGTAACATGTAAAACCTCTGCCAAAGGGTTTTTTTATAACTGGTCCAGGAGCCGATCGATTCCTGATGGTCACTCCAAAGAATGTTTTGGTCAGACTAAGGAGTAGGTTCCACTTAAATTTGCCCCATAATGGACTCTGCGGTTCGAAACTTATTGAATTGTTTACCAATTAAGGACCAGCTAGGCGAAAGTTAGTAATTTGTTTTGCGAGTGATCTGCCCACAAATCTTACAATCGTTTGGGCCTTCATGGTCACACTTAAATGATTTCATCCATAGACTCAGAAGTTACAAAAGCCTTGTGCAACATGAAAAAAAAAAGTTCTGAAAAAAAAAAAGGAAAACAATGCTAATGTAGCTTTTGTTTCAGTAGTGTCACCTAAACGTTTTATTTCTCGTGTTTAAAATCTTGTCAACTTAGACGGCTTTTCAAACAGCATGAATATCTCTTTCTCTTGTAGGAGGATATGGGTATGACATATGATGAGCTGTCTATGTTCGGACGCCTAAGAAAAATCTCGCGCTGTGGACCATACAGCATGTTCTGCAAACTGGTTCACACGTGGCGAGCAAATTACGCACCCTTGGCTGTCGCAGAGAAGGTGAAGCGCTTCTTCCGCGCTTACTCGATCAATCGACATAAAATGACGACTTTGACTCCAGCGTATCACGCCGAAAACTACTCTCCGGACGACAATCGATTTGATCTGCGACCGTTCTTGTACAACACGCAGTGGTCATGGCAAATGCGACTGGTTGACGATGAAATCCGACGACTTCAACAAGCAGCTGAAAAGTTGCATTTGCGTCAGCAACAGCCACACCTTCAAGCCAACAGTGATGCCTTATTTGGGGGTTTACATGATCAGAACGTGAGTGGCTCCGAAGGTGTGACGTCGTCATCCCTGCCTGTAAAGACGGAGCGGACTGGAAACCACTTTTGCGCAGATGAGCGGACACATCAGGCGCGAAAGGAGAGGCTGCAACGAACTGTAGAGTCTTGGGTGAATTACAACCGGGGATCGAGAAGAAGGGAGATAAATGAAACTCCCCCATGCCCTGCTCTCATCCGCATCAAAACGGAACCCCCTGATCTTGAACAAGGTTGCCATTCGGACGTGAATGAGCATTCGGACTCAGAGTTGAGGTCTCGTAAGAGAGACGTGACTGAAATATCAGGACACGTAACGGATGGGGAGTTTATAAGCGCGGAAAAGTATATGCGCATTCAGTCCCGATGAATAGCGGGAATCAGTATTATCCTATGTCACTACAAAAAGATTTTGTCACAGACTTTTTGACATATCAGTCGTTGGCTTGAAAGGTATCGATCTGTTGCTGGAAGTTGTAAGAACTAACGCACCAAGGATAATATGGATATTCCTTGCTTTCGTAATTTTAGCCCACGTGGAAGTCGATTGGGAAAATCCGTGCGTTAGTGAAGGGTTAAGATGGTGCACGAGCGGGTGTCACATCCCCCCCACCCCCACCCCCACGCTCTTGGATGGATGCGTGGTGGCAGAGCAGTCAAGACGTCGAACGTAGAATCTTTTGGTCGAAGTTCGAGCCTGGCCATCAAGATTGTTTCATTTGCTTCATTCGGATTTCTTCGCACTTGTGTGTATAACAGTTATTCATCACGTCCACGGTGGGTTGGGAAGAGGGGAAGGGGGAGGGGAAGATGTTGTCAATACTCCTACTAAGGTGCTTCTTGCTAGGGAATTTAAGCTGCGACGTTTTTAAGCGACGCACGTCAACCTTAAGTGGACTTGCTACACTCTTGAGCCGTGATTTTGTTGAAATGTTTGAGCAAATCGTCTCTATAAGAGCAAAGAAAGTTAGCCATACAAATCGTCATGGTATTTTAAAAGAGAAAAAGGCTCACTTCCGTTTGACGTGCGTCGCTCAAAAACGTGGCAGCTTATAGCGTTACGTTTCATTTTGAACGTAGAATTATTCAAACAGCGTGGCGGATCGTCAGTTAAATTCAAACGTACACAATTCAAAAATTTCTGTAGGAAATAAGGGACGCTGAAAATAACCTAAATCTAATAATTCTGTTAGGGTTTATTTATTTAATTATTTATTTAGTGAGTACTCATAAAGTTTATATAGTTTCATTGCAGTTATTAAAGCAAAGGAAAAACTGTATATTACTATAAAATTTCAAACCTGTTTCACCGGATTTATTGTTTAGAAAGAAAGAAGATTCTCTTCTTTTATTTTAAATTTTCAACTTCTCTCCGGGTCTTGTTTTTTTTTTCAGGTACGTGGTGTTTGAAGTTTGTTGTCTGCCCCGAAAAGTTTATTATCAATAACTTCCTTCATAAAATGATCTCGGTTGTTTAAAAGTTGGATATCCGTTGGATCAATCGCTACCCAGTGAATAAATATTTGGGAATCCAATTGCGTTATCCACCTTTTGAGAAACTGGGGCCGCGCTTTTTGTGTACAGTAGAGTTATATCCAGGCAAGGGAATAGTGTGATATATTGCAATAACAGTGTGAATTTTAAATCCTTACTATATCTATTCTGTCAATAAAAGTCAATTAACAACTAAGAGCGCCTTAAGTCATGTTAAGTGCCTGAGGTCAGCGGTCTTTGGCATGCGCATGCCCAGTAGCTGGCTACATCGATCATGTGATTCATTGGCACGTTCAGTTTTCCATCGTGCTGGGTTCTTTCAGCCATTTTCTTTCTAGGGATAGCCAGGGTTTTGGCACCGATGTCTAGAGACTGTTTAAGTTTAAAGAGATTTGTTTCTAATGAAAAATCTTAAGTCTTCTTCAAAGATTTATTTTGGTGTAAAAACTTCATATAAATTTTTTAGTTAGGTCCCGAACTTGTGCAAGACGGGTCTCTGTTTGAAAATCGCGATAGTAGTGCCAGCGAGCTTGCCCCAAGGCTAGTGCAAAATAATATATTTTCTAAAGGACAGTAATCTCAAAGGCAATAGTTTTTCCCGACACGACATTTTAAAGGTCATTGACCAACTTACTTTTGCATTAACATTCATGTGCTCTTTAAATTAAACAACAGGAATTGGCTTTTAATTTCATAAGTGTTACCATATTAATTTTCTGAGTTACGTCTCGTGGTCTGCAAGATAACGGATTTTCCAAAACGAAAATTTTCAATTTATTCAAAAAGTTTCGCGTCATGAAAATGAAGGTTCTTGCCTAACAAATACACACCCAAGCACGATGTTGTAAGTCAACTTTTAATGCACACAAAATCATCTATTTCTAGTGAACACAAAAGACCTCACTAATTTACCTCTGAAAACAAACAATAATCCACGCCCTTACGGTAATTCAAATTAATTATCATAAATTTAAGGTTCTAATGAAACAGCAGAGCCTCGACTCAATCAGTCTAAACTCATAGCCTCGTCTTCGTCCTTATCTTTGTCCTCAGTCTCCTCTTCAGCCCCGGCTGTAGTTGGCCGAGAGGTTTCATCTGAGGTACTAGTACTGTCAGCAGTACTGGGTCGGGAGGACTCTTGCACAGCACGCACAAACTCAACCATGTCTGGAAAATAACAATAAAACGCACAATAGTTTCGTGTGATGGCAAATGTTATGTCTGTACTCTCTCCTTTTCGTGGGCTAGAAGAAGAGTGGTTTAAGAAGCAGAATCAACGTTGTTTCATATCACATGGTCGAAGCTCTTCTTCCTGACACTACTTTATAACAGACAGTTCCCTTGTCAAGATATCAAACTTCGCACAATTCCTGGTTCACCAATACGGACACCTCTCTATAATGGACTGTTCTCTTATTAGAGCAATTTTCGTATGACCTTGAAAAATGGTTTCGGTAAGTGTTCGTTATTTGTTTTATTAGCCAATGGATGAAAAGATCAAAACATGGACTCTTCGTTTTCCCGCCAAAGAAAAACCCTAATAATTATGGATAAGGCGTTGATCAATTGGCCATTCGTGTTGCAATATAACGTCAAAGCGAAGTATCGATTGATTTCTAGAAAGTTCTCGGGCATGAACTTTTTTCACGCGAGCGTTCGCTTAACCAACCAACAGCCACGCGCGTTTGTATCCGTTCGATAAACCAATCAAATCGCTCTATTTCCGCTCGTTTTTTGTTTCTCTCTTGTTCGCGTGTTTTCATTTCAAGGTCATACGAAAATCGCTCCACTAAAGATATCAAACTTCATACAATTCCTACCCTCTACAATACGGACACTTCACATATTCCCTAAGATACCAACCTTTTAAATATAATAACTACCTTTATAATACCGACACGTCTCTATAACAGACAATCTTTCTTCGAAATTAACTGCTGGTTGAATAATAATATTATTGATATTTACCTCCTCTGCCAGCAGCCCCTACAACTTCATCACCAAAACCAAACTGTCCCATCAAGGGCCCCAACTGCCCTGACTGCAATGCAGAACTGAACATTCCCAGTGCCTGAAAATAAACATAATGTAATCAGTGCTGCCTGTGGAACAAGCAACAGGACCAGATCTACTTTGTGCCAAGGCCCTTGTTGGGACTTCTTAGTGGTTAGTTCGAAAGCTAAGCTACTC